TATTGATACTATGGAGCCTGGAACGGCTAATTAGGTTGAAATTTTTATAGAAATTGAGATAATGATATTTTGAATATGTTAAAGTATAAGGTTAAGGAGTATACTAACATTTGTATGTTATGTGTACTTAATGGGTAATTGTATAGATCAGAACCAAGCTCCTGAATCAAGTAAAGCCAAAGGCAAAGGCCAAGTTCTGGAGTAGCAATTTGTAAACTTGGAATATCAAAGCAATGCAAGCCAGGTGAGTACTTTATTATAAATATGAGAGATGAGGAATATTCAATTCAGATTGCTTAAGTTTTATATGTGTTTTATAATATTGATTATGATATTTTATAAGTATGGAAAGAATATTATGAATAAGTTTTAGAGTATGAACTGCTCTAAATCGAATCCATAATTAAAAATGCATGAAAGGATGCCATAATTTAAAATGCATGAAAGGATGCATTAAGGCATGAAAGGATGCCATAATTGAAAATGCATTAAAGGATGCATAAAGGCATGAAAAGATGCCATAATTAAAAATGCATGAAATGATGTATTAAGGCATGAAAGGATACCATATATATATTAAAATGTATAAATGGATGTGTTAATACATTAAAATAGACATAAATGAGGTTAATGATCTAAAGAGAAGTATGTTGGACATACTAAAGATGATATTATGGATAATATAACCAAGGTTTGAATATAAAACGAATGACTTAACAAATTCTTATGGATGATATAACTTCTTTTGAAGTTAAATAACTATGAGATATTTATGTATTCTTTAATGTTATTTACTATATATTAAAATGCATAAATGGATGTGTTAATACATTAAAATAGACATAAATGAGGTTAATGATCTAAAGAGAAGTATGTTGGACATACTAAAGATGATATTATGGATAATATAACCAAGGTTTGAATATAAAACGAATGACTTAACAAATTCTTATGGATGATATAACTTCTTTTGAAGTTAAATAACTATGAGATATTTATGTATTCTTTAATGTTATTTACTATATTATATCTCACTAAGTAAATGCTTAACGCGTATTATTTCTCACGCGTAGGTAAAAGAAAATATTAGCTGAGTAAGGAGTGCCTCGGTAGCTGTGGTGATCATCAACTAAGGTGGACTTATCTGTGACAAAAAGACAATCTAATATATTTTAGAAATTTTATTGGCATGTAGTCACAATATTTAAATGCTTTTACTTTTAAACAAGTAGAACTTATAACATGTTGAAAACAATGTTTTGTCTTATATTAAAATGTTATGTTTAAAGAAAACTTTAATGTGAAATCCATATCTCATGTACGGAATGGTATATGGAGAATGGGTGTTACACAAATTATGAGATTTGGGTATTACTGGTCAACTATGGAAACTTACTGCATCAATTATGCACGAAAATATCACAAGTGTCAGATTTTGAAAGACATGATACATATCCCTCCTCATCTGTTGTACGTGATGACAACTTCATGACCATTCTCTATGTGGGGCATGGATGTTATTGGACAAATTTCACCCAAGGCTTCAAATGGCCATAACTTTTTTTTGGTAGTAATAGACTACTTTACCAAATGGGTAGAAGTGGCGTCCTATGCAAATGTCACTCAGTCAACAGTATGTAAATTATTAAAAAAGAAAATCATATGTCGATATGGCTTACCAGAGAGGATTATCTCTGATAATGCATTGAATCTAAACAATAAGATGATGGACTCAGTCTGTAAGCAGTTCAAAATAAAACATAATAATTCCACCACTTATAGCCCGAATATGAATAGGGCAGTAGAGGCTGCTAATAAGAACATTAAGAGGCTTATAGAATAAATAAATGAGACTTATAAGGACTGGCATGAGAAATTTCCATTTTCTCTGTTTTCTTATCGAACTTCAATGCGGACATCGACTGGGTAAATTCATTTTCTTTAGCCTATGGGATGGAAGTTGTCCTACCCATTGAAGTACCCTCACTTTGAATTTTGTCAGAGGTGAAGCTACATGAGGCAGAATGAGTACAAGCCAGATATGACTAATTGAATTTGATTGAAGAAAAGAGATTGAAAGCTATTTGTCATGGTCAGATGTACCAGAAGCGCATGATATGAACACACGATAAGAAAGTTCACCTCGAGAGTTCCATGAAGGAGATTTGGTGCTTAGAAGGATCCTACCTATTCAAAAATATTTTCGAGGAAAATGGATGCCAAACTGGGAATGACCTTATGTGTTGAAGAAAGACTTTTCTGGAGGAGCTATGGTCCTTATTGAAATGGATGGGTCGAAATTACCCTACCCAGTGAATTTCGATATGGTTAAGAGATATTTTGCCTGAAGAGAAAATAAAAATGAAAAATAAAAAATGAAAATAAAAATGAAAAATAAACAAAAAGAAAAAAAAAGAAAAAAGAAAAGGAAAATAAATAAAATGGGGGTCAAGTTGAAAATTCGAAAAGGGCGACTTGAAACCAAAAAATGTCTCAAGTTGAAAACCCGCAACGGGTGACTTGAGTTTTGTTTAAATTCAGAATTTGTGCATGGTGGAGGTTCTGAATTGATTTTGAAGTCTAAAGAGCTCCTGATATGGGTAATAACAGTGTCAGGTGGTGACCAGGGTTGGGATTAAAGATTAATGAGTCTCCATTAATACAACCAGAAAATAAATTGAATGCATATGAGATTCAATATTGGTTTATAACATCCAACATCTGGAGATTTGGTAGTTTAGAAAGATATTTACACCTTTACGCATTATAACAACTCTTGAGATCCTTTTAACAAAAGCTACACTTGAGTCAGTTTGTGGCATGCCAATTCAAAAGCATTTATGTTAGTAATATCTGAGGACACCTATTTCCTTTTCTTTAACTTTTTCCAATTAAAGGTTTGTCATGTAGTTACTCAAAAACTCTACATTTATGTAAATAAAAAGAGGATCTTTCTTCTTAATTCCCCTTTTGTAAGCGTCTTACTTTGAAAATTAAAAACATGTAGTTTAACCTGAAATACATGAGATCATTGTGTATTATTGTGCAAAAGGTATTGGAAAAGTACAGGTGTTCTGAAGCTGACAATGGTTTAACATGTAAGTTTGCATGAAGAAAGGAAACTAAAACTTTGGAATACATAGGAAGTCTTAGCCATTAGAGGATAACCCAAAATATTTGTCACTAATCGAGTAGTTGGTCATGGGTATTGGCGGGTTTCAAGAAGGAAGAAAATCAAGGTCATGTCAGACTGAAGAATATGGATTAAGATTGTCAGTTGGGGTGAATCGGTCGTATTTTTTGTACCCAAGATGAAACCAAGTCACGAGACTACCAACGAGAAAGGATGCTCCTTTGAAAAAGAAACTACACTAAAATTGCATCATTACACACATTTAGGCATAAATAGGGTCATGACATTCATAAATGCATGATGAATTAAGTATCTAAAGGTTTCCCAAAAGAAAGCCAAAGATTGAAGATATTGAAACCTCAAGATAGGAGTAACCAATTCAAAATTCTGAAAAGAAGGATGTTCAAATGACACTCGAACCAAGGCAGATTCCTATATCTAGTGGCTACGAGACAAGTTCCCATAAGAGAGATTGATTTTCAAATATTCTCTCAACTCCTAAACCTTCAGGTATAATATTTTCTTATTATCAAGCCTACACTAATGATTGTTAATGTTTGATTTTCAGGTTCGATCTTCAAAGCCAATCATGTACGATTCAATCTTCCCTAGAGAGAAGTAAAGTGAATCAAAATTTTCTCCAGTATGACCTCCCCTAAAAAGTAGCAAAGCAGATTCTTTTTCTTTCAAATTTGGTCTTCCTGAAGAGCAGTGAAGCAAATCAAATCCGATTCAATCTTCCTTGAAGATCAACGAAGTGAATGAAATTTTTTTCTCGAGTCTGTCCTTCCCTAAAGAGTAGCGGAGTAGATTCTTTCTTCATTCAGATTTAGTCTTCCTGAAGAGCAGTGAAGCAAATCAAGTCCGATTCAACCTTCCCTGAAGAGCTGCAAAGTGAATCAAAGTTTTCTCGAGTCTAACCTCCCCTAAAGAATAGTGGAGAAGATTCTTTTTCTTTTAGATTTGATCTTCCTGAAGAGGAGTAAAGAAAATCACAGTCGATTCAATCTTCCCTAAAGAGTAGTGAGGTGAATCAAAAGTTTCTCGAGTCTGACCTCCCCTAAAGAGTAGTATAACATATTCTCCTTCTTTCAGACTTGATCTTCCCGAAGAGCAATGAAGCAAATCATATTCGATTTAAACTTCCCTGAAGAGAAGCGAGGTTAATAAAAATTTCTTGAGTATGACCTCCCGTAAAGAGTAGTGGAGCATATTCTCTTTATTTCAGATTTGGTCTTCCTGAAGAGTGATTATTCGATTCAATCTTCCCTAAAGAGCAGTGAAGTTAATTAAAATGTTCTCGAGATTGATCTCTCCTAAAATGTAGTGGAGCATATTTTTCTTCTTTTAGATTTGGTCTTCCTGAAGAGAAGTGAAGCAAATCAAGTGCGACCCAGTGAATCAAATTTTTTCGAGATCTGATTACCTGAAAGAGTGGAACAGATCAAGTCCGACCTACCCTGAAGTTACAGTGGAGTAGATTAACCCTTGGAATTCCTCATAACCGAACAAATGTGACCATCCTTTGATCTTTGCTTTATCCTCGTTGCACGATAATAAGCAAAAAGGAGCAGCTGTAGATGCTCATTTTTGTTTGGGGATTTCATTCAAGTTTTTATTTATGTATGTATGTATATATATATATATATATATATATTATTAGTTTTGCTTATATAGGGTTAGTTATTAATTATTATTACTATTAGCATTAACTATATGTTATTAGCTAAATATTTTCAATCAAGTAAGAATTATTAGGTTATACTATTATCGGGGTGTATGTCCGTATATTATATATATTATGTTATATCTAGTATATAAATAAATAAGTAATGGAAAATATATATCATTGTCTAAACAACAAATATTAAATAAGATACTAACTAAATGTTTATTTTTATAGGCCCAAGTTACAAAAATTAATTACATGGTGCTCGGTTGAGGGACCAATCAAAATGAGCCCAAATCAGTGAAAGAAACCCTAGCTCCTATGTTCAACGCCGCCAAGAGATCTGAACCATTAGATCTTTTACCAATATGATGGCTCAGATCAAACTCAATCAGTAGACAATTAGGGTTTCAAACCCTACATCTCGCACAGGCGAATTTTAGCCTTTAGATATGGCCCCTAAGATTCGACAGCCCAGATGCAGTGAACCTTAGGGTTTTACCCTAAAAGATACCAGCCGCTGCTAGCAGAAGGTCCCAACTATTGGATCCGATCAGCGATCCAACGGCCCAGCTTCACCTCAGGACGTTGACCGTTCAGTTTTCACGTGTAAGATGTACATGCGCCCCTCTAAATCTTCGACGTACATGCCAGCGCCTCAAAGGCCTCGGATTATACCAGGAACAAAAATAACAACCAGGACGGAGGGAGAAAAGATTCCCTTGGCCACGCAGATATGGCAGCACTGCATGCAAAAATATAAAGCAAAAACAGCAAGAGAAAAGGCATCATTTTTCATCAACATAAAATGGAGGAGGAAATCAGCAACGAGGGCAGAGAGCACAAAAACGAAAAAAATCCATCTTTTTTCTTATCAACCACATATATAGTAAAAAAGGAAAAACCACAACGAAATTTTTTTCTGTTTTATGACCAAATCACCAACCAACCAACCAAAAAACAAATCAAAATCAAAATCAAAATAAACTTACCTTTACAGTTCAGAAAGCTTCGTCGCTGTCGCTAGGAACCAAAACCCCATTTAGTCAAAGGTAAATCGTTTATCCCTTGGTTGTTTCCAGTTGTTTTCAGGGTCATGGGGGTTATTTTTGTAGAGATCTTAGCCTTAGGGTTTCGGGTTCGAAGAGGTTTTGGATGGTTAGGTTAGCTCTAGGGTTTGGCTTACAAAAAGGGAAAGTTTGTAGTGTCTAGGCCCTTTATCGGAGCCTATTGGCTCCTCGTTGAAACCCCGGGGGGAGTGGAGGTCGTGGTGGCCATCAGTTTGGTTGCTGGGAGTGAGAAGAGAAGTGAAAAAAATAATGGAGAATAAATAAGAGAGGGGAAAGAAACGGCTGAGTGAGGGAGATGAGAAGTAAAATGAGGTTTAGGTTTTCTGATTAACCTAAAATATCATTATATCTTGTGGCCAAAATGGCGACGTTTAAAGATCTAGGGAAATTATTATTTTGGGAAAAAAGGGTAACTGTGTGTGAGCTCCCCCGGTTTCTTAACTTGTTATATTTCGATCCCCGAAACTTATATTTCTGAGCCTTTTAATTTTGTCTTCATATTTCATGCACTTTTCATCTTAGTCCTTTGTTAGGTTATTTTTACATTCAAGTTTCTTTTACATTTGATATGTAATTTTTTTTGTTAATTTTATTTTAATCCCATATATGTCTTCAGTTATATTACGTTTATAGTGTCCGTGATTTAAAATTTCTTATACTTGATAGCCTGTTGTTTGCCTTATTTACGATTTTGGCCTTAAATATGTTCCCTTTATATTTTAGTCGATATATGAGGTCGTTTTCACACGTATGTATATAGGGTTAGTTTAAATTTGCTTTTAATGTATGTCTGGCCACCCATTGTCCCATATATTATATAATCACATCTTGCGAGAATAATATGTAAAATGCATCTTTAGTTAGTTAATGTATATATCTGCGATGAATATTAAACTTTCTTAGGAATAAGGTTATTCTAAGTATGCATGAATGAGAAAACAAGAATGTAGACTAATCACATGTTCGAACCATTATGATATGTATGCATGTACAAATATTTATTTTAAGCATGTTGTTCGTACGCATAGGTTTAGGTGTAATTTATCCTTTCAAAACTGGCGTGTAATATACTCTCGTGAGTATTACTCGACCCATATCAAATAATTGGATTAAGGGTAATACTCTTCTATTTTAAAATTATTGTGAGGTGATTGTCTTAACTTATAAGAAAAGCGCTTTCGATGATTTTAAACTGAAAGTGTATCCCGTTAAATAAAACCCTAAAATTTAACTTCACCTAAAATTGGGAAAGAGAGAATAAGAAATGTTGTTCGTTTAAATTCTTCGAGAAAATATCGTTAGAACTTATCTAAGGTCTGATCTCGATGTCTTTAAAGAATCGAATATTCCTCTTCTTTCTAAAAGGCTTGGTAATTTTTTAATTTAGTTTGTTTAATTTCGTGCATTTGAATATTGCAATGAAACATAAATATTTCTTTATTTCGATTGGAATAAGAATCAATTGTCTCAAGGTATGAGAGATCGTTTTTTCTCAATAGGAAATAATTAAATATTACTCATTTTCATTCTAACATTCAAAAAACTTTTTAATGGATCATAAATTAAATTAAATTTGAACTTATAAGTTTCATCGCAAAGACTTGACTAGGTACCGATTTAGGCCGATGTGGGGGAGCTAATTTTTTCCCATGAGTAATCGACTCCCAAACTCAATTTTCTGGTACGCATACTGTAAATTTGTTGTTTTAATTAAAATTAATATTTTTATTAAAATGACAAATATGTTTTTGGGTGTCCAATCACACCCTAATCAAATATTGGACGTGACTCCTCAAACCGTATTTTATTTTATTTAAAGGGAATCCCAAATTTTTTGAAGTGAGGGATCTTTTATAAATCACATTACTTTTAATTAAAAATTAACCAATAGATAATTAAAAAAATGGGTTTTTTTAAATCCTGAAAAACAACATTATTTTTATATTAATATCATCATTTGGTAATACTTTAATATCAATGAGTGAATATCGATATTTAAGTACATGTACTTTCTTTTTTTAGTATTCATACTCTTTATTTTATTATTCATTCTTTTTAATTGAGGATTCATGATTTTTTACTTATGTATCTATACTCTCGATTAGAAGATAATTACATGCATAATGATCGCTCAATAAAATAGAAGCCAATATTTTAGGTGAAAATTTCTTTCGAAAAAACCATAGATATAAGAGAAAAAATATCTAATGTCAAGAGAAGAATGAAACAAAAGGATTCCTTATGGACAACCTAATCTCTAACTCTAATCCTTAATATCTATTTATAAGGGTGGATACTTTATTACAAAAGAAACTTATAAAATATAAATATACTCAAAGTAGGTTTTTTACATAAAGAAAAAATAAAGTTTCTACTTTTAATCAAACTAGGTTTCTTTCTTTTTCAAATATTTATATTAATTAATTAGTATCATTTTGAATTTGAGTCAAACTATAATAAAACTCCATTTAAGACCCTAATCTAATCTAACCTGAATATCAAAGGATTAGAATGCCACACAGGACCAACAAAGTGGTTAACCTAAATATTTTCTTTTAAAACAACGGTAAATAATCATATAAAAACCATCAATAGTAATATGAAATAAAAACATAACAATTAGAGTTTATAAAATACAGGGAAGCTAACAAAACATCCATAATAATAATACTTAGTTTTAGCAAAAATATAGTTATGAATGAATACAAAAGGGTCTACAAATCGTACATGCCCTCTAAGTATAACTCAAGGGGTACTCTGATGCCCCGACTGGTCAGGAATATGCTGACGACGATAATTCTTCTCGATTGCTCATGTAACACCCCTAACCCGTATCTGACCCGGATCCGAGTTCGAGGTGTCACATCAACTTTTAAACCTTTACTTGTTCAAAATAATGAAAAATTCCCGTTTAAAAAATTCATATTATTTCAAAATAAAAGTTTTCACACTTATCAGAGCATATACAATTCAAATAATTTATATTACATGCTAACTACATCTAAAAGAATAAAATACATATCAAACATTTCTTTTCTGATCTGAACTTTGTAAGGAAGATGCTTGTAACACCCGTAACCCGTATATTTATACCTATACAAATTACGGATGTCAACCTTATTTTTTATATCCAATATCCAATTTATACAGTGATTTAAAATTTATTTTCTTAAAATGGTAATTGATATTATAAAAATACCATATCATATAAATTATGTTTCATTTTAACAAATTTAAAACAAAAACTTTTTTATGAATAGTGATGAACAATACCTTTTTTATAATTGTACCGATGCACTACTACAGTACGTGAACAGTGCATCGATGCATCAAAACATCGAATTAATATTATGTATTGATACGCTACAGTAACTGCTACAGTAACTGCTGCAGTAATTTCTGCATTATACAAAACTCATAAAATTACCATTTTATTTCCAAATTTGTTCAACAAAGCAAATAAAACATTAATAATTACATGCCACTAATTAAATCTACATTACATATTAAGATGTCTTACTGATATAGAAATATACTTCTTGATGCTTGACGTCTCTTTAAACTCCTTATTCCACTACTGGCTTTTACCTATGCGTGAAAATCATCACATGCTAAGTATATACTTACTGAGGCAATTATAACAATAAACAGTGCAATATCATTCATGCATGAATTTCAATTTCAAATCAAATGCCATAGAACCATGCTAATAGCATATCAAATATTTTACCATGATTAATATATCATAACTGAATATAAAAAAAATATTCTTTCCAATATACTTGTCATTCTTTCCATAAACTCGTAAGTTTATTTTCATAACTTACCATTTATTAACTAATAAACCATAAACCGTAGACAATAGCCCAATATAAAACCCCGAGGACCCTGGGTACACGAGTCAACTATAAGCACCGTAGTGCTATACCGTATTACACATAAGGTCGTGTCCACCATCTGTACTAGGTATCCTTAAGTACAGTCCCGTATGGCACATAAGGTCGTACCCACCATATACACTAGGTATCCTTTAGTGTATCCCGTATGCAGCCTACTGTTGGACTCTATGGCATGCCAACTATACCCTGTCCCTCAATGACTTACTTGGGCATACAGTCTATTTTATTTGATCTATCCATGGCAAAGTATATTATCAATATTTAAAATTTGGCAGTTCATACCCGAATAACATTCATGGTAAAATATCACATTTTCCATAATCAATGCATTATAATTTCATACTCTGACATATCAATGTCATGTCAACTTATAAAAATATGATAAAATATCATGCTGAGAAAACAAGGTCGACTTATCGTAAGTCTTCCTGATGATGTATAAAACATCCATGTATAATTTCATGCATGTATTGCACTCACCTTGATACTTTATATAATCCACAATATGATCCTTACTAATTGTCCACAATAATCCCTTTTCTATTTGACTTGCTTTGATCACAAATCAATCACAATCTGTATTAAATCACAAATTCATATCAATTCTGATGTTAGTATTGTACTAACATAAGCACATCCCATAACAATTCCATAATATACTTGAAACTCATTTTCTACCAAGTATTTAAACACTTAATAATTTCTTTTAACATTTGCATCAACTTTTCTAATTTCCTAAAATGGTCATTCACCATTTTATCACATACATTCATTTAAATTCCCAATCAACAATTTCCATCATAGTACATCAATTATACAACACTTATACAACAACCCCTCAATTTTCCAGAATTTACGAATTAATCTCCAACTCTTCAAAAATTACGAATTAGTCACCAAATTTTTGTAAAGCTTGTAGAATACTTGAATATGAGTCTACAACATATAAATCATCCATATTTATCATCAATTTCATGAATCCTATCATGAAAATAAACCCTTAGATTTGGGATCTTTGAAATTCAACAAGATTAGAAAGCAATATTAGTACCAAATGATAGCGTTTTTCGCTTAGATCACTTTCCTATCTAACGACATAACTCCAATTCCAAAGGAATTAGCTTAAAAATTGAAAATAAAATATTTTTCTTACCTTGAAAGCTTTCTCACGTCCATGGAGAAGAGAATAACACTTTGGCATGATATGTTTGATTGATATCATGCTTATCATCCTTTAAAAAGAATTATTTAAATCATTAACTTGGAAAATACCAAATTACCCTTAATAAAACTTTATAATCACCATTAAACCAAGATACCCATCCTTATCATCTTCAAAATCAATTAAATATCAGCCTTGCCATCTTTTAATAGTCAAAGATGAACAAATTAGTTTTCCACTTTACCCTTGAA